TCCCCGAGGCTGTTCCCTTCCATCTCCCCCCTCATTKAGACCATGACATCAGAAAATCAGGTTAAAAATTTTAAAAAAAGGCATCAGATCATCGGGAATTCTGAGTAGCGTCCGTTGGGGGCCGATGCCCAGTGGCGTGCTCCGCCACCCTCTGGGTCCTGGCTCTGTGGCTACTGCGAGGAGGCCTTGGTGGTCAGGGAGGCCACGCAGTGCTGCTGGAAGCTGGGGGACACGCCCRCGGTGCAGCCCAGTCTCTGGTGCGGCAGCTTGGCAGCGCTGCCCGCGCCCGCCTCGGCCTCGGTCTTCCAGGGCGCGTCCTGGCCCAGCACGCAGCAGCCCGGGCTGGCGCTGCAYGTCCKCTCGCCTGCCAGGCTGCCCGCCTGCTCGGCCAGGAGCCTGCTGTGTCTCAGCGGGGCCGCGTCCCCCGCGGCGRCTGCACCCGTGCTCTGGCCCTGCAGGACGGTGGCGATGTGGTTCAGGAGGTCTGAGAAGAACTCGCTCACGCCCTCGTAGCCTGGGGTGGAGACAGACAGCGCAGGTCAGCCGGGGGGCTGGGGTGCRGGGACAGGCCGACCAGCGACCAGGTCACTCCCGTGGGGCCAAGGGCTGGCCCTGACCCTGAGAAGTGGTGAGCCACTGTGAAGTGGTGAGCACCTGTCCACCCACTGCCATGGTGTGGATAAGGGTCCCCTGAAGGCCCGCRTGCTGGAGGTGGGGGACCTGAGGGGTGGCACCTAGTGGGAGGTCTCTGGTCATGGGGGACCTAGAAAGGGGTACAGGGACCTGGCACCCTCCACCTCCCCCCCCCCAGACACTAGGAGAATGTGCTTCCTTTGCCTTGTGTCCTCCACCCCATGATATGCTGCTCTGCCACAGGCCCCAGAGCCACAGGGCCACAGAGCAGACTGAAACCTCCCAACTGTGAGTGCAAACCACCTTTCCTCTTTATTTTATGATACTGGGACTGAATCCAGGGGCACTCCACCACCAAGCTACATTCCKAGCCTTTTGAATATTTTGAGACAGGGATGCCCACAGTAGAAACAAAAATGGCGCAGCTGGCCTGGAACTTGCGATGGTCCCGCCTCAGTCTCTCAAGTTATGGGTACAGGTATGAGCCACCATGCCCAGTAACCTTCCTTYTTTTTAGCTTTATTATCTCAGGTATTTTGCTACAGTAATGGCAAGATGGTGAACACACCCACCTGARGGGGTGAGATGATGGCTGGAGGTGGCAGCACCAAAGCCCACTTTGAATGATACACAGACTCCATGGGGTCTGCCTGAACTTGGCCTCAGGCCTGATTCCTGGCCCCTGCATCTGTCCTGAGCCTCAGCTGTCCACTGAGAGGATACATCTCGTGGTAGAGGMTTCTATGGGCATCAACCAGAGGGGCTAGAACACCAGTGCTGTCTGACCCAGAGCAGCCACAGCCCCAATCAAAAGTGTTCCTTTTTCATCCTAAAACACAGGAGGAGGCCCTCTGTGCCCCTTGCACTCAGAGACAGCCTCCAGGCACTGCCCACCAGGCCACATGAACTGCCAGTGTCTGCCTGGGGCGGCACCTCCCAACRCAGATGTGAAGCAAAGTCCTCGGGAGCCTCACAGCAGGCCTGAGATTTAGATGGGGCCTGCCGGGGTGGGTCTGGAAGGACGAGAACTGGCCCGCGGCTCCAGGAAGACGAGCAGGGCAGGAGAGGTCTTGGGCAGGAGCTGCAGTCCACCAGCTCGGGGGGCTCTGGGCACTGCCAACCCTACTGAAGCTGGACCACCCTGGATACTGCACCCTGTGCCGAGAGGTCACTGAACACCGGCACATGCCCTGGATGACAATCCCAGCCACTTGCACAGATGGGTGGCAAAGCCTGGGACACRGCCCTGTGTAGCCTTAGAACACTGCACGGCCGTGTGCGGGGCCACCAGCTGGGGCTCCTCTGTGTCCAATAATCACTTAGCAGCCGACTGCTGTGCTGCAGAGAGGCCCACGGCAGAAACAGAAAGGGCCATGCGGCTGGCGCACAGTGCCTCCGTGTCCAGCACTGGGTGACATCACCCTCACAGACCTGCCCACTTTACAGATGAAAATGTGGGACTGTTAACCAGAGAGGATGGTGACGAATCCACGCCAGTGTCCTCAGGCCAAGCAGGCGGTGCCGGCCACAGGACTGGATCCCGTCCCCTGATTGCTGCCTCCTCACAGACCCCCTTTACAGAGGAGGACGTGGAAGCTCAGAGGCCCAGTGTCACAAGCTCCTAAGTGGCACAGCCGAGATCGGATCAAGGCCACTGTCCTGTCGGTGTCTTAGAACAGCCCGGTGCTGGGAGCCCTGGACTGGGTGCCCCGTCAGCCCGCGGCCAGGGGTGAAGGGCAGGGAAGACCCGGGTCTGAGGCGCCCAGGATCRTGGGAGTGGCTGCTGGGAGCCGGGGTAGGCGTGTGAGCAGGAAGGACACGGGAGACACTCCGGCAGGTCTCCAGGGAATCCGGAGGCAGTTCCTCAGCAACTGCTCTGCTTTCCTCCCAGACCAGGCCCAGGGCCCCACGCAGAGCTGGGGCAGGGGGACRTGCAGAGGCCGCTGCCTCCTTGAGGCCTGGGAGGAGCAGGAGGCGGGGTGGGCTGACACCAGCAGGCGCAGACAGGGGGCCAGGACAGGAGCCAGCTCCACACGGCCCTGGGCACACAGTAGGGTGGGAGATGCTGTTCCCACCTGCGCAGGGATGGATGGGGCCAAGGTCAGGTGSCCAAGCCATCGTGGACTGTGAAGGCAGAGCCTGGACTTGAACTCAGCACCRGGCTCCGCCAAGAGGCAGCAAATCTCATGGTCAGAGTGCAGCCCTAGCTCCACCACGTAGGGACCCGTGACCTTGGACAGGTCCCTCAGTGCCTGGCCTCGTCCTCTTGGCAAGTGGTGATCACAGCAGTCCTCCAGGGTGCAGTGGGGAGGGGGAGGCTGGCTGCTGCCTGTCTCCACACAGGCCTGGTACACAGAGGGGTCAACACCACCGGGCAGTGGGTGGCCTCTTTGACAGGGCTGCTACTGCACCTGAGGCCCTGAGCTCGCCCACCCCTCTGCTGTCCCCAGGAGTGCTCTACAGGGCTGGCGAGCAGAGCCGTCTCCCTGGCACCAGCTCCCTGGAGCCCYGGTCTCTGGGGCCACCTCGGCAGCAGACTCCTCACCAGCCTCTGCTGGGCGCAGCCGCGACCCTCCTGCCCTAGGGGGATGGCCCTTCTCTCGACTCCTGGAAGAAGTCTCCCTGTCCACACTGGCTCAGTGACAGTTCCCTGACAGACCGCCCTGGGCCCACGACACAGTGAGCTCACAGGGAAGCCCCCCACTCTTCCTCCTAGAACTTCCACGTATGACCCCCCAGTCCATGGTCCAGAGTCCCTCCCGACCACCCTGCAGCCCTGCCTCGCCCCTTCATTCCTAACGTCCTTCTGCTGCACCCCAGGTCCCCAGCTCTCTCCCTCCACCCAGGGGGACTGAGGCAGACTGAATGATGTGGGCTTAACACGGACCTTAGACGCTGCCCCCAAAGTGAGACCACGCCGCAGCAGRCTGCCCTCAGAGACGGGGCCCACAGCCTGGGACCACTGCTCCACCTCTGGTGGGTGGCTCTTTCCTTTCTGGCCAGGATTCRCTCTGGTGTCACAGCTTCACAGAGGAGCCACCAGCCACCCCCACCCTTCTGTCTCTTGCTCCCTCCCAATTATGGCGTGGGCCTCCGGCTGGGACCTGGCCATCCAGCTCACTTCTGTACTGGCGTCTGGACCAGCTGGGACCCACAGCACCTGGTCGGTGACAGCTGGAGGACAAAAGGAGCCAGTGGCCTCCCGAGCCTCCGTTTCCCTAGCTGGGCACAGGGGTGCTGCCTGGAACAGYTTGTGCGTGCCCAGGAGTGGAAGAGGCACGGCCTCCTCACGGCCACCTAGCTGGTGCCCTGCACCTGCAGCCCAAGAGCTGGGAGGTGCAGGCCAAGGAGATAAGCCGAGGGCGGTGGTTCCACCTCCCGCGAGGCGCTTGAAGAGACACTGTTGAGAACAGAGTGGACGGTGGGGGGTGGGGCGCAGGGCGCAGGGCCCAGGCCCGCAGCCCCAGCCCTCAGGAGGCAGAGGCAGGCCAGCCTGAGCCCAGGCSCGGGTGAGCGAGTGGCCTGCTGCGGGGACAGGTGGGACCAGGTCAGACTCCACCTGTCACTCTGTGGGAGGTGAACAGGTCACGTGGCTGGGGGCTGGGTGCAGCACGGTCCTGGAGCACCTGCCCTGCCACCAACGTGCTGTGTGACCCTCTAGTCCACCCTGCCACCAATGTGCTGTGTGGCCCTCTAGTCCGCTCTCACCAATGTGCTGTGTGACCCTCTAGTCTGCTCTCACCAACGTGCTGTGTGACCCTCTAGTCCGCCCTGCCACCAACGTGCTGTGTGACCCTCTAGTCCATGGCTTTCCTTCACCTAACAGCAGGGGTTGTGGCCCTTCAAAGTCCCTTCGGCTGTGAGACTGGAATGGCTCAAGGGATGGACTGATTGGGACATCGAGGCTATGCTGGCGGCTCAGGTCACAAGGTGAGAGGGYGCGTGGACCCGGCCGCCTGGGCCCAGTCCTCCCTGGTGCAGGATGCCCGGTACTGGGCTCCTTCATCCCCTCCCGCTCCAGAGCCCGTTCCCAGGTGTGCAAAGGTGGCAGACTGCTGGCTGCCACCTCAGGCCACCAGCCCTGCTGCTCACCTGGGAAAGCGTTGATGTCGATGACCGCGTGCTGCCCCGTCTGGTTGTTGATGATGATGTCAATCCCAAACAGTGACACACCCAGCGCCTGCCGCAGGGCCCGGGACAGCTCCCGGATGACCTCGTCGCTCGGCCGCTCGAACACACCTTCGATCTTGTCCAGCTGCAACACACACAGGGGTCAGGCTGGGGTGAGGAGGTGCCACAGGCCCTGCCATCCCTCAGGCCAGGAGGCAGGGCAGACCCACCCCAGCCAGCACCAGGCCACCACCTCTGTGTCCTGCCCGAGCTGGGCAGGTGGGGTGCTGCTCACGGCCTTGCTGGCTGCCATCCGAGGGACGGCGTCAACACTGGCATCTTACACACAGGCAACGGGCTCAGAGGGGGTCGGGCTGGCCYGTGAAAGCCCAGGGCAGGGTCTGGGCCTCGGTGTTCTCAGGCTCTAGACCCATTTCTCAGCAGGGAGGAAGGTGGTGGAGAGTCGCTGTGGACCAGGGAGACAGCCAGGTGCAGAGATCACTGGAGCCTGACCTCGAAGGCAGGGAGGACGGGCAGGGGTGAGGTGGGGAGAGAGGCCTGGGGAGGGCGGGACGAGAAGCCGAGAAGCCACAGGGGCGCAGGGAATGCTGGCAMGCGGCCAGGGCGGAGGCAGCGGGAAGTCCTCCACGCCCTCCTTGCAGGCAAACTCTAGGCCTGAGGCTGAGGTTCGGGAGGGGTCTTGGTCCCTGAAGGGCTCCAGGCGGGTGATCTTGCATTTCCATCCCCCCCTTCCTTCCCRAGGGGCGGCTCAGGGATGCTCCCACCGCATGCCTTGGGTCCAAGCGCAGCGGTCAGCAAAGCTTCTGGGGGGGAGTGGGGCTGTCCGGGTGCACAGTCTCCACCCTGCCCTGGACCGCCCTGCACTGCCCATTCTCTGCTCTACTCCAAGCGGCCTGGGACAGGCACGAGGACCGGGCATGAGAAGACTGCACCAGAGGCTTTGGGACTTGGACCAGGGTCTGGATGTGAATCCTGCAGTGACTTGCCGACTCTGGGGACTTGGAGAAAAGTTTGTGGCCTCTCTGCCTCAGTTTACTCTGCTGTAAAATGGGACTGATTGAGCCTCCATCCTAGACTTGCTGAGAGGGAGGAGGAGGGTGACAGGAGTGGAGGCCAGGGGCCTGGATGGCCAGAAGGGCTGCTTCTGAATTCCAGGGCAGGGACAGCCTCGGGTGACCTCAGCCTGAACAGGGCTCAGCTAGGTGCCTATGAAACACCGGAGTTCTGGAGCTGAAGCTCAGAGGCTAGAGGAAGGGTGCAGCTGCAAACACGGCGCGTCAGAGAGCAAACCGGGAATTACAGGTGGCCCCGCAGGCCCAGTCCTGGGGTCCCACCCAGGGCTGCCTCACAGTCCTGCGTCCACACAGCCTCACCCCCCCACCTTTGAGGTGGAAGCCACCCACTCCACCAGCATCGGCAGGGCAGCGGGTCAACAAGCCACAGGGTAAGTGCCATGAAGTGCCGTTTGTCTGTGGGAAGGGATAAAATCCGACTCGCTACAGCACAGACGAACATCACGAGTGCGCATGCRGGGCGGCACAGACGGCTTCGTGCTGCATGACTCCCTCCGCATAAAACTTCCAGAAGGCGCAAATTTGTGGAGACGGGAATCAGAGAAGCAGTGGAGGAATGGGGAGTGGGGGCTCATTGTCCAGGGTATGGGAATGTTCTGGAAGGAAGCAGAGGTGTGGTGTGGTGTGCCTCGATGTGAGCAGACCAGTCGCGCTGGATTTCTCACTTTAAAACAGCTGAGTTTATCCATGCGGATTTCACCTCAATTTGTTTAAAAGCGAGGCTGGGTCAGGGGATTGAGCATTGAGCCCTGGTCACCAAGACAAATGGCCTTTGGCCCTGAAATGGACAGCAGGGAACTCCYGGAGAGCACCAACCAGGGACTGAGGCTGGCACCTTCCTATCCTAGGAGTGCCCTGGTGTCTCCCTGGGGGCTTCCTAGGGACAGTGGCAGTCTGGCTGAACAGGAGCTCACCTGAGCTCCCTGGGACACTCAGGGTCAGAGGCTGAGTCCAAAGAGGAGCTCAGCAGTTGGGCCACAGCCCAGCATCCTCACCAAGTCAGAGGTCCAGGTGGACCCCAGGCTTGCCCATGCCCTGGGCCTGCCCTAGCTGTAGCGAACCTCTGGACCCTGTTTCCTCACCCGGAAGTGGGTAATGAGAATGCCTCTGCCCTGAGATTTCAGTGAGGACTGGGGGCTGACACAGAGGCAGGCCCAGGGCAGGCAGCTCCTCTCACCCGCGTCTCCTGACGAGCTGTTTATAAAAGCACTTTCCCAGCTCAGCTGAGGAATCTCAGAAATCCTTCCGAAGCCATTTGATTGTCCAAACCCAAACAGCCAGCCTGGGACAAGACAAGGGTGAACTCCTCCCGGGGAATTCAACACCAACCACCCAAGGTACCCTGCTAACCAGGAGGTGGGGAGTCAGGAAGGAGCTCTGTGGGTGCCCCGGGGCCACCGCTCACGGCCAACACTGAGAACTTCCTGCACATGGGCAGTGGGCACGGCTCGGACAGCAACTCACAGAACCCCTGGATTCCCTCTGGGCAGGATGAGGAGTCTGAGGCTCAAAGGGATGACATGGCTTGCCAGAGCTTGGGTCTGATCCGGGCTATTTTCCCCAGAAAAGCAATTTAAAAAAATTTTTTTTTACCTCCCAAGGTGCTGGGGCTGGGACTTCGGGCCTTGTGCATGCTGGGCAAGTGCCCCACCACTGAGCTGTGCCCTTGGAGGCCCAATGCTCCTAAGGACATCCTAAGAGGGCTCCGAAAGGTAGAAGGCCCCTGGGGCCTGCAGGCTGAGTGGAGCTTCCCAGGTTAGGGCCTCCTGGGGAAGGAGGTGGGGCTTCGAGGCCAGTGTGGGTCCCTGCAGGGCRCTCTCAGGGGGGCTGAGACAGGGCTGGCAGAGCTCCAGGTGGCACAGGGCAGGAGGACTGGTAAGGGAGTATTCTGGACACCAGTACCCATGGTGGAGCTGACATGGACGGCCTGAGGGAGGCCACAGTGGCCGCGGTCCTGCAGGAAGGCCATGCGGCTAGCATTGCCTCTTCTTTTCTTGGAAGCATTAGTCCTGACGGATTCCTGACTAGCAGTCACATGCGAAGGCCGGGGGGGGGGGGGACCACTGTAGGTCTGAGAGGCAGAGGAAGGGCCCTGCTGTGGCTCTAGGCTGACCCCTCCTATTTCTTGGATGAGGAAACTGAGGCCCACAGTCAACAGGGGTTTATCTAAGAGGGTGACTCCCAGTGGGCCACCCTGCATGCAGCCCTCAGTGTCCCCCTGGTACTGGTGAATAGCCCCAGTGGGCGCTAGCCCTGTGCTGTGCGAGGGCACTGGCAGGGATAACTTCTCAGGAAGTCTGTGCCGTGCCAATTCCTCTGCAGCCCAGCACACTGGCCAAGGCTCCGCGAGGCCGGCGGGAGGAAGCCCTGGAGACGCTGGAGTGAGCCGAGCCTCCCTGCACAGAGTATCTACCTACACCTCACAGCGACACAGCCAGGCCCGGCGCTTCTCTTGATTGTTCCTGGGGGATAGCTACTGAGGTCCTGGGGACAGTGGTGTCCCTCTAGGTCCTTGTTCACACCAGAAACAAACAACAGCTAGACAGGCTGCCCAGGTTTGGGGGCCAGGAACACAAGGCCAGGGCAGATCCCCAGGGTTGGCTGTGCCCAGCCCTGAAGAGGGAGGAGGCCACGAGAAATCAAAGGCTCCCAGGACACCAAGATGGACGCACTCTAGGGGGAACAGAACCCCAGCAAGTCCTGAGTGCAGGGGACATGAGAGCAAAGCCGCTGGCCTGCTAGGCCCACAAGGGACAGCAGACTGCCTGTGGAGGCTCCCGTCTGCTGTGGAACACTGCCCAGCAGTCCTTAGAGTGGTAGGTCGCCCTGGCTTCCTGGGAGAGCCAGCTTTGGAAGCGGGCCTGGGGTCCAATCCCAGCGAGGCTGCAGGGAGGCTGCTAGACACCCAGCTGGACACTGCCATGGGGACGTTCACTGAGCAGCAGCCATGATGCCTGCTGCCACGGCTTCAGGGGTGGGGGTCACACGCCACCCTAGTGCTGCAGAAGCACACAGCAGGCTGTCAAGGGACACTCACGAACAGAGTGAGGGACAGCCAGGAGCAAGCCTCTCTGAGCTCGTGGGGGCTGCCTGCAGCCCTCCCGCCCTGGCCCCCACATGCTCATCACAATGTGTGCACAGCTGTGATGCCACCAGCACGCGGGCTAGAAGACAGCAGGCAGGAGGGGTTGGGGAACGGGCCTGGGCCTGGCATGTGGACAAGGGCCTCCCATGATGCCCAGCCCTGGGCGAAGGCAGCCTCGTGCCAGGCCACCAAGGAGGTGGTACGTACCTCTGTGAGAACGGATGAGGACTCCGGCTTCGACACATTGTGGCTGTTGAAGAAGATGGACTCTCGGTCTGAAAAAGCAGATAGGAGTATGGGTCAGGGCCTCCAGGCCAGGGTGTGGTTCCGCCATCCAACACCAGAGGGCAGCACCACCTCAGCCACACGCCAGAGCGCCTTGGCTCCAGGTCCAGCAGTAGGGCCAGGCGCTCCAGGGAGCTGGGCTCCCCACCCCATGGAGTGTGCCAAGGATGGACTTGGCCCAGTTAGGGCCTCAATTTCATTTCTCACACAAAAATGACGGTTTGCTGAGCCACCTCCACGACCATCTGGTGATATCCCACCTGGGCTTCCCCAACACCTAATCCTGAAAGATGCTGCAGATATGTCACCAAAAGGGCACCAGGAGGAAAGGGGGCTAAGTAGGTAGGACAAGCCATGCACCCGATGTCGAAGGCCCCTCCCACCCATGGAACTCCTACGGAGACCCGGCCAGGCTGCCGCCGCCATGTGAGAGCTTAAAACAAAGGTTCTGCTGTTTTCCAACTATTTAGGACAAAAACAGAAAACCAGAACATAGGCTTCCACGGTGCCCTCCAAGAAGCTGCTCAGAATGACCTGCTCACCATGACACCCCCTCCACCGCATCCAGCTTGCGAGTCCCTGCATGTGCGCCGCCATCGCACCSACCCCCAACTCCCACAGAGGCCCAGCAGCAGACCAGTCTCGGGGACACTGAGCTCAACAGGCTGACGGTACAATCATTCACCCCACTAGTAAATGTCCTCTGGAGTAACCAAGGTCACCCCAAGGAGCTGCAAGGTCGGCTGGTCAGCCAGAAACACGTTCTCAGGCACTTGGAAGCACAGGCACGTCAAGGCAAGAATCACAAAGCCAGGAGCCCAGGTCTGGGTCTGGCAGAGCCGTCACCACCTTGTTGCCTCCCCCACTCCCAGAACAGCCAGGACCCCCTGGCTAGGAGTCCCCAAGGGGCCTAGCCCTGCTTGAGTCCTTCCAGGGTGGGGCATCATGGGTCCTGTTCCCCAGGACACAATGCTGGGCCCTGGGACCCAGGCCCCCAAGCTGAAGGACAGGAAGGGACCAGCTGAGGGCCTGTGTGCCAGGGTGGGGGGCCTGCCCTGGTGCCGCGACCCCACCAGCTCCGGGACTCTGCGGCGCCACAGCGATCATGCAGAGGAAGTGATTGGGGCAGAGCCAAGCAGGCAGGCGCTGAGAGGTACCTGGCATCCTTCCCGCTAGCGGGGCATAGAGGCCCCTGGCCACCCTGGTGTGCCCGACAGTCCTCCCGCTGCTCCGACCAGAGCCAGTCCAGACAGGGGGCACGAGAGACGGTCCTGGGGAGGAGCCTGAGGAAAATAAACACCCTGCGGGACTCTGCCACGCAGTCCCACCAATCCTCTCCCGGCACCAGGGAGCCTTCGAGGTGGCAAAGCCCAGTGGGCCAGAGGCTGGAGTAGGTGCCAGCCGTCCATGCCAGTGGTCTGGCCTCCTGGAGGCACTGCCCATCTCCTCATCCTACAGCCCCCAAACTCAGAGCACCTTCCCACCTGTACCCCTGCAGGTCCCCAAGGAAAATGAACAGGGTGGCAGAGCAGGCTGTGGAGGGAGAAAGGGCCACCATGCACAGGTGGACACAGCAAAGTCCAGGGAAGCTGGGAAGCTGTAGAAGCTGCAAGGAGAACGGAGGGAAGGGGACAGAGCTGCCCCAGGGGCCTGCCAAGCCCATGGAACTGGACAAACTGTGACCCACAATGGCTCCCTGGGGCAAGACCAAATGCACAGGATCTCCAAGGGGGTCCCTACACTGCTACTTCCGGCCTGCGGTGCTCTGGCCAGGACTACTGGGCAGGGTGGCTAGCAATGACAGGTCCAGCAGCTCTCCACATGCAGCCGGGCAGGGCAGAGGGAGGGAAGGAGGGAGAGCAGCTTCCAGCCACTGCCTGTCCCCAGAGACTATGGGAACCTGCGGGGAGCTCGGGTGGGTCAGAAGGAGCCTGAGCCCAGGACAGAGCCCTGGCAGCCAGATCCTCGTCCCCTCTGTTAGGGGAACAAGGTCAGGGCCTTGCTGTCAGAAGCACTTTGAGTGTAGATGCCCCTGCCAGTCCCTGTTCGTGGATGAGTCCTAAGAACACACAGCCTGGGTGAAGGGCCACCTTGGCTCCCCACAGGATCGGCAGGGAAAGGAAGCCAAGACTGTTTTTGTTCTCAACTTACAGATGGAAAAGAGGAAGAGTAAATGAGCAGAGTAGCTCCCAGACCCTGGCACTGTGGCGGGGCAGCCCTGAGCTGCAGCCGCAATCTGGGGCTCTTCTGCTGTTTACTGCCGCTCCCAGGAGGTGCATGCCACGACACTGTGGGTGGCAACCCAAGTCAACTTCCAGCTGCCACTAGATGCCACCTCTGCAAAGGTGCCTGTGTCTGCTGTGCCTTTTCCAAGTTACTCCCCTCACTGGAAGGTGTCCAGAGCCAAGATGTCTTCCCTGGAGTCTCCATCTCGGGGCAACTGGCTCTGGTCTCTCTCCCGTGTGTTCTCCCCTCCCCACTGGAATATCTACTCATGAAGGCAGGAAGTCTGGCTGGCTAGCCCCTGGCTGGACCCCCTCGGCAGGCTCAGTGAACGCAGCACCTCACTGCCTCTTCAGAGGCTCTGGAGTGGAGGCCAGGCTGCCTGCATCTGTACCTGAAGCTTCCCTGGGCACAGCCCCGCCCACTCATTTACATATCTCTAGGCTGCTCCCATCCGGCAACAGCAGCTTTTAGTAATGGAGACAGCACTGGAGCCATCTACCCTGGGGACTCTGGTAGATCCAGCTCTACATGGTAGGAGGTACCACTCTTCTTCCCTAAGGGAAAAAGGCCCAGGATGGAGAGTGTAATAGGCCCCTGCACAGGGCTGGGACCCCTGGCCCTGCGTCCTCAGGTCAAGGAAGCCCCACTGCACAGAGAGAGGGAACAAAGAGAGCCGTCCCTCTGCCCCAGTGTGGTGAAGAGAGCACATGAACCTCAGGCAAGGAACACAGCGCAGTCCTCGTGTTCTTGGTGGCCAATGTCACCTTTCCATAAGAGCTTACTCTGGTTCCAGTCAAGGTGTCTGCGGGATGCCACTGCTATTAAGTACACACCTGATTTTGGAGATGTTGACATGTGAAAAAAAATGTTCCTGGGAGGGCTGGGGTGGGGCTCAGCGGGAGAGCACTTGCTCACACCTGTGAGGCCCTGGGTTCCATCCTCAGCACAACAATAAATAAAGTAAAGGTATTTGTCCATCTACAACTAAAAAATAAATATTAAAAAAAAGCATTCCTGAGAATCAAAAGCAAATGGCAGCTGAGAGACAAGTCCTTGTCTCTACCTCCCCCCAGGTCAAGAGCAGCCCTGAGCAGGGAGCCCAGCTCCCAGCCTGGACACAGGAAGTGTGGGACTGGCCACCCTGGGCGGTGGGAGCCACAGGCTAGGTGGGTGCCGGAAAGTGGCCAGAGCCCCCCAGCCCCGTTTAACCAGTGCATCGTACAGAGCTGCCGTCACTGAGGCCTTACAGCCCCCAAGAGGCCTGAATGTGAGCGCTGGGCCCCCGCCATGTCCCATTCACCGCAAGGCAGTGGTAGAGTCGGAGAATCACTGGGAGTCACTCGGTTGTCCTGTGTGTCTTTACTGTTTGGCCCGGGTCTGAGACACAGCCACGAGGAGGGACACGAGGAGAGGAGGGCTCTCCACGCACTGAGAAGGGAACTGGGCCACCATTTTACAACCAGGAAAGAAAAGCACACAAACACACTTTTGTGTGGATGAGAAAGGAGATCTGGCAGTAAATTTATCTYAGAAATGAAGTGATTTGGGTAAAAAAAGCAAGAGAGACATGAGAGCGCTTTTTAGTGTGTGGTTCTGGGATGACCCGGGGCCACATGCATGCTAACAAGTACCCTCCCACTGAGCTATGGTCCCGGCCCTAACTATTCCTAATTTAATAGTTACACGTTCTTCATAAAGTGTGTATTTTTTAAAATCAGGAAAATAATAAAAACATTGTGTGAAATGTCAGTCTCTTCAGGCCACACATGCGTCCACTGACCCAACCCACACTATCCCCTTGCCCCAGGGCGGGTGCTGGACCAGGTCAGGAGGGGCTGTCCTGACCCTGAAAGACTGCTGAGACTCGGCAGGGGGAGGAAGACACTGCCCCATTGTCCACTCAGTCAAAGAAAGGGAAAGAAAGTGACCCAGGGGAAGAAGAGCTGGAGGGGACGACGGGTAGCTGCTCCAGGCCAACAGGCAGGTGACAGGCAGCCAGGCGGGTCCTCAAGAGGCCCGGGCAGGCCAACGCCCTACCTGAGGGCATCTCCCTTGAGAGAGAAATGTGCAGTGCGCTTGAGCAAGCTGCAGGGGCAGGCACGGGCCTCCCAGGAGCCCTCTGGAAGGCTCCACTTACTCTGAGGCATTGCTATAACACCCAAGATTTCTGGAACTCGCCTTAGGGTGGCCTCAGGACCCACAGAACATTCCTCACAGCAGCCCCACAGCTGCAGGTTTTTAACCCCATCCCTTTTCATGGTGGGTACCAGGCCTGGAAGGAGGTAAGGGCTGAGGGAAGCTTCAGTGGGGTCTTGAGGCTGTTCCTAGAGGACTACCTCTAGGGCCCTGAAGGACAGCAGCAGCATGTGATGTCACTGCTCAGGGACACTGAGGACCCCCCTCCATGGTTCAGGGCACGCTGGCTGATCAGGTGTGCACATGTGCAGCCCTGCACTAGGTAGGGGGTGTGTGACTGCCCCGGGACCTGACGTCCCGCATCGGGATCCTCAGTCCAGCAGGTGCTGCCCGCTCCAGAGCACTGGTGCCCCCGTGGCTGCAGAAACAGCTGGTGCTGGGGTAGTGGAGAGATAAGAGGCAGGGAGGTGGGGGACCAGCCAGCTTCCCGAGTGGCTGCAGAGTTGGCTGACCGTGCCCGCCCCGTACCTCCCTCCCCGTCTCATCACCGTGGGTCCTGGGAACTGTCTGGGGCACAGGCAACTTCCAGGGGCCTTCTGGGGCTGATGGTAGTCTGAGAGTCTCCCAGCAGCCTGCTGGGACAGGGTGCTCCAAGACCTCTTTATCCATCTGCTGCACCAACTCAGCCTCAGGGCATCTCTCCAGCCTCCAGAAGTCACACCAGTGGCAGGGGAAGTGGAGGACAGACAGCTGTGCTCGTTCCAGTGCGAGAGGCAGTTACCTGATGTGCCCGCAGAGAAGTTCTTGAGCGAGGGTCTCTGGACCACCGTATAGGACTCGCCCACCACGAACACCTTGTAGAGCACGGCGTTGTGGTTGATGAAGTTCTGGACCACACAGGGTGGCTGGATGGCACTCAGGCCCTCCTGGTTGAACACGATGGCCATCTGGGGAGACAGGGGACACGGGCTGCATCAGAGCCCACCACCCTCCTGCCTTCAACACAACAGCACATTACCAGCAGCATTCCCTATCCTGAGCCAGGGACACATGTGAGTGGAGATGGCTACGAGAAGAGCGCCTGCATCAGTCACCTCTGCTGCGGGAGTTGGAGTCCAGCACGCACCGGGCCACCACGTAGGGGTGAACAGCTGGTGCACTGCACAACTCCTGAGAGCATTCCTCACAGTGCCAGGGAGTGGGGCCCCTAGGTCTTATGCTACTCAATCCTTCTGACATCTGGGGGCTCTTCCACAAAGATCCAGGATGGGGGGCGGGACACTAGGCTGTGGATATGAACCTGAGGACCTGGTCCAAGCTGTTCCTGCTGAACACTCACTGCAAGCCCCTATTCTAACACCCATGTGAGTCACCTGGTGTCACCCTCGCGTCACCACCCTCTGTCATCGATAAGACAGCAGGGTTGGTGACCTGCTGGAGGATGACAGCCTGGAATAGAATCAGGTGTGCCCAGCATGGGCCTCGCTTCTTACGCAGGGGCCATATAGGTGTCACAAACGGGCATGTCTAGCTCCCGGTGCCGTCCTCTGGGCCATCGTGCTGGTTGRGGACGTGGGGTGGGACTGAGGGTAGAGGGGCTGCAGACATCCTCTCGGCTCTGACGGAGGCTGGGTCTGTAGTGGCCTAGGGGGTCTGTCTGCTCTAAGGACCATGGGGCCCACTGGAGCCAGCCACTGTGCTAGGTCACGGCTAATCCCTCCACCCACAGGCCCCAGGAGGAGCACAGGGCCCGGACAGCTGGCCGCCTCAACAGCTGCCAACCCTGCATGCCTGGTGCTCAGCTGGGCAGGACAGAGCAGAAATCCAGGCCAGCGGGGGAACCAGTGCAGTGTGTGCAGGGGTGGGCCAGGATATCCCCTTCGCTTCCAGCAACAGTGATGGGGCCAGGCAGCCCCGGAACCAGCTGGGCCCAAGGCCCCCAGCACTTCCCAGGTGGGCCTGGGCAGGGCCTTCACCCTCTGTAAGCTAAACACCCAGAAGTCCTGTGAACACCAACTCAACCTTGGCCCAACCAGCTGGACACCCTGACCTATGGGAGGCGTGTGCCCACTCTGTGGAGGGCACCCACACCCAAGGGAGCGACCCTCTGAGGCCAACAGGCCCCAGGCACCAAGTCCCACAGCACACATAGGTCTCCAAATGCTGACAACAGGTGGACACTACTGCCGTGGGTCGGGAGAGCACTGGGGATGGGGGCGGGGCAGAAGGTGTGCGAACTTCCCTGGGGGTGAGGACCCACACTGGGGGTGAGGCTCGTGCAACCCCTCAGAGCCTGCCAAGAGGAGCCCACCTGGATGCAGACCTTCYCTGGGTCCTGGTTCCACACCAGCTTTCAAACAGTTCCCTTGGGTCAGGTCACAGCGGGCCCCACAGTAACCCGTGTCCTTCACAGTCACTGGGAAGTCCCCATGCATAAACGCAGGTCAGACACTCAGAGGCAGGGTCATTTGCCAGCACCTCAGAGCTGGCAGAGCCATCCAGCAGTGACGGGTTCCCAAGGCTGCAGTCCCCACGTGGCCTGGAGCTCCATGTGGCTGCTCCCTGCCCAGGGGCCTTCCCTGGCATGGACCGGTCTACCCACACCGTTGGCACTCAGGGGTGCACCAAGACACGAGGACCTGCCAACAGAGGGCCTCTGTGGTGACCACGGGCAGACGGTGGCCAGGAAGCTGCCCTGGCAATGAGGGAAGCAGGCACAGGGGCATCCTCTGGCTGCCCTCTCCCTGGCTGCGGCCATGCAGATGCCCAGGCAGGACAAGCACGGGAAGGCAGTGCCCAAGGAGGCTCCCGCTGACCTTTGCAGCAGGCCAAGATCTCCTTCCCACGGGCAGGGCCGCCCCTCGCAGCACACCCCCTGCTGACACTGTTTATAGACATTTCCCCTAAATATCTCCCAGGGACAAGGAGCACGATATAAATCTAGAAAAGGTCGCTGCTGCCGGCTTCTGTTTTTAGTCTCCCCTGGTGGGGGATGTTCTGATGCAGGGCTGCGGGGGACAGGTCTTCCCTACAGGGCCCACTCTGCATGCCAGGGCAACTGCCTAATGGGAGGCCCAAACTGGGTTGTGCCCAGGGCCTGAAGATGAGATCCCCTGTGGTTCCTGAGGGCGGGAAGGGCAGCAGAGACCTCGGGGCCCTGTCCACTGCCTGCTTCTCTCACCCCCAAGTGCTTACAGCTCATGGCCACCCATGTCCCACAGGTGCAGTCTCCCTAAGGACTCACTGTCTCCCACAGGGTGGGGTGGAGCCTAGGCACCTGTTCCCTGGCACCTGCAGGAGGGTCAGACACACGTGCACAGGGAAGGATGGACAGGTGGGCAAGCGGGGCACAGCTAGCCAGCGGGTGTGGCCCTCCTCCTCAGCGCCTGGTGGGCAGAGATAGCCTTCCCAGCCTAGTGCCTGGCACTCTGGGCCAGACAACATGCAGCCAGGGACAGGTCAGGCTGGGTGTGACTTCTCTGGGCTCCCCTAGGGACCACATGCCCCTCCATCCATGAATTGAAGCCCTGAGCCCAGCATGAGGGTGTCTGGAGGCAGTCAGGTTTGGGTGAGGTTGGTGGGACCCTCACCTTGAGATGAGCACCCTCTGGGCACGCTCTGCTCACGCGACGGCACACACGCTATGTATAGGCCACATGTGACACTGAGAAGCCAGGAGCAGCCTTACAGAACCCAGTTCTGCACCACCCTCATCTGGGACCCGCAGCTCCAGAACTATGAGAGTCAGCGTCTACTGCTCAAGCCACCAGTGTGTGTGGCATTCTGTCATGGCAGCCCCAGCACCGTCCCAGCCTCAGGGACAGGAGCAGCGAGAGAGGCTGGAGATGGGCTGCGAGGCTGCCACATTTTGTTTCCTCTACTCAAGTCCAGGGAGCCGGGGTGGGAGCTACACACCAAGAGGCTGTGCCCGGGAGCTTGGCAGGGTCCCAGCAAGACCCACTGGGGTGACAGGGCAGGGGTGGCAGGTGCAGGGAGGCAGGGACAGGGACAATCAAGACTTCCACTCACCTCATGAGAATTGGTGCCATGAGCCACTCTGGTCTTGCAGACTGCGGGTTGGAGAGAGGAAAGCAGAGAGGGATCAGTGAGTCCTGATGTCTGACTGGCGGACACAGGGCATCTCCCCAGAGGACCCCCTCAAAAATCCTGCAGCCACAAGGGGAACAGGGCAGTGCTGCAGTTGGGGTAACGTGGGCAGATGCCACCAGCCCAGGCAGGACCCGTGCAGTGGTGGCGTGGAGGCGCCTGGGGCTGTGCCCTCCGCAGGCAAAGCCTGGGCCACCCTCAGCAATTCCAACCCTGCGGGCCTAGAACACCCACCCTGCCCGTGGCCATGCGGCCGAGCACGTGGCTACGTACTGAAGGGGAAGGCCAGGCCGTTCTTCTCCAGGAGCCTCACGGTGTCGTCCCCGCACAGGCTGGTGAGCTCCATGAAGGGCGGCGAGCAGATCCTGTCATCTAGGTCACAGCGGGAGGGGAGGTCAGCGCCTCCTCCAGGGCCGTCCTGGACCCTGCCCACCTCCAGCCCTGAGGGTCCCAAGCTCTATGGTCCCCTGTGTGGCGCGWGGGGTATGTGTGACAAGAGCAGCATATTCTTCAACTACATTTCCCAGCAATATTCTGTAATTATAAAATTCTTACATTTTATAATTACAGAATATACAGTTTTCTTCAGAAAACCTGAAGCACACAGTAAAGAAAAACACACATGTCGCTTCCACCTTTGCCACCCCTCCAGCATAGTCCCCTTCCTCCAAAAGACTGCAAGCCCCCAGGAGGTGGGCCCACTCCATACCTCTGGCACAGGGCTGGGAAAGGCTGCACATAGGCAGGGCAGGTTGCCCTCCCCCCCCCCCAAACTTGGGAGCCAAACCCAGAACAAAGCAGCTGAGAGCCGTCCCCAGAGCTGTCCACTCCCTGGCTGGCCAGGTCAGCACACTGGGGCACGAGAGCCAGCCTTGTTAACCTCAGCAGCAATGCAAGAGCTGCACAGGGAGCTCAGAAGAGCTTCTCGCCTCCCTGGGCATCCCACCCCACCAGGGCAAGTCTGGACTCCAGACAGGAGCTCCTCTGGGGGCCCTGGGAGGGCAGCTGGGAGTCCACGTTTGCCAGGCCCCTGGAGGGGTGGCGAGCCCCGAGCAGTGCTCATTCCATCCTGAAGCTGCTGTGACGGCGTGTGGAGCACGGGTCAAGAACCAGAGGCCCAGGGTGGTTGTTGCCCAAGGTCATAGGACAGTCAACCAAAGAGCCAGGGCAAGGAGCCAGGTCTACCCAGCAGCCTGGAAGAAGAGAAGTCAGGAAAATCAAGCTGAGGATATGGGGGGTCCTGGTGCTCGCTGCAGGCTGTGACCCACACCGGCCTCATCTGCCCTCCCCCAGCATGAAGGATGGGAGGACTGGCAGGAGGCTCAGGATCAGAGGCACAGAGCCACTGCCGCTCTGCTGTGGGGGCGTGATGCTGAGGTCCCAGTAAACTGCAGGATCTGCAAGGAGCAGGCACGAGACAGGAGCTTGTCAGGCTCCCACAGTGACCCCAACTGTCACACACCACTGCTGATTGCTGACCTGGGCCCACCCACCGCACTTGTTCCACGTGGCTACACTGCAACTCGTTCATCCTCAAAGAGCCTTTGAGGACGCACCACCATCACTCCCACTTTCCATTTGAGGGAGTGGGCACCATGGAGACGCTCCCGGTGTGGAGCTAACAGTGAGCAAGAGGGACAGCCTGGGCTGGGGCTCAGTGGTAGAGCGCTCGTCTAGCACATGTGAGGCGCTGGGCTCGATCCTCAGCACCACATAAAAATAAGTAAATAGAAACAAAGGCATTATGTACACTGCAACTAAAAACAAACAAACCAAAAAGAGGAACGGCCTAGGGCACACTGGGTGGTATGGCTCCAGGTCCAGTCTAGTGACCATGGCTGCGGGCTCAGGGTGTCCCTAACAGCATCTCCTCTGCTCGGTGGCAGTACTGAGACAGCAGCAGCTTCAGCAATGGGAAGCAGGAAGGCGACCCCTGCAGTCCAGCCACCCACTGTGCGGAGTCCCACTTTCCACAGGGTCAGCTGCCTGTGGCCATCTACAGAGCACTGAGCTTTAAACCGCACCTGGCGAGCAGGGTGATGAGCAGGGTGACAAGCAGGGTGAGGGGCTCTCCAGCCTGCACCACCCACGTCACAGCCCGACTCATTCCTGCGTCCAGCACGACACCACAGTCACCACCTCAGTTACCAGATCAGCTGTCCTAGAACACAGGCTTGCGCTCAAGGAACCTTTGCTTTACTTAATACTGGCCCCAAAGTGCAAGAGCAGGGATGCTGGAATTGTCCTATTTTGTTATGAGATTGTCGCCTAATTTACGAACTTTTTTTTCAGCGCTGGGGATCCACCGGGACTCACACGTGCAAGTGATAGGCAAGYGCTGTATCACTAAGCCACACCCCCCCATAAATTAAACTTTATCATGTGATGTAGTATTGGGAAAACACAGTAAGTGTAGGGCTTGGCACTAGCTGAAGTTCCAGGCTTCCACTGGGAGTCTTAGAACATACCCCCCTGGGATAAGGGACAAAAGCATAACACATAATCTCAATGATGTAGAAAGCATCTCACAAGATCTAATATCTTTTTACAGTACAAACACAACAACTAGAAAGAAGGGGATTTAATCATCCTAATAAAGAGCATCCTCAGAAACCCACGCTTTAAGATAACATCAAATCCACCACTGAAAGCCTGGGTATTTTCCCCCTAAGATTAGGAGCAAGGCAGGGATATTTGTTCTGGCCACTCCTCGTCAACACCTTGCTGCAGACTCTAGACAGGGCCACTAGACAAGAAAAACGAAATAAAAAACATCAAAATAGAAAGAAATAAAACTATGTCTGTTTGCAAATATTATGATATGGTACACAGAAAATCCCAACACACACACACACACACACACACACACACACACACACACACCCTCCCAACTCAGCTGGAGCTAATAATAACCAAGTTCACCAAGGCTGCAGGATACAAAAGCAACACAGGAAATACAACTGCATTTCTATACCCAACAATGAACACTCTAAATGTGATGTGAAGAAAATAATTTCATTTATAAAAACTTCACAACGAATAGAATATTTGAGAATAATTTAATAAGTACAAAACAAACTCTGAAAACTACAAAGTATCACTGAAGGAAATTAAAGAATGCTTCAATAAATGGAAAGACACACTAGGTTCATGAACAGAGTAAACATTATTAAGTTGGCAATGTTTTGATCTATAAACTCAACATGAAACACCAGCTTTTTTTTCAGGAATTAACAAGCTGACCCTAAAATTCACATTAAATGTAAGGGACCCAGAATAATCCAAACATCTTAAGAAGCACAAAGCTATAAGACTCACACTTTTTTTTTTCCCAAAACTTTCCATGGGGCTGGGGTGTAGCTCAGTGGGAGAGTGAGAGCCTGGCCTGCACAAGGCCTGGGGTTCAATCCTCAGCCCACAAAAACAAAGAAATAAGTGAAACTTTCTACAAAGCGAGTCATTGAGACAGTACAGTACAGGAGTAAGGCAGCCATGCAGATCCATGGAACAGAATGGAGAATCCGGATGAGAATTCATTCACCTGTGCTCAGTTGCAAAAGAACTTAATGAGGAAAAAATTTTCTTTTCAACGAATGGTGCTAGTACAACTTGTTACCCATTAGAAAAAGACTGAAATTGCGATCCTACCTCACATCACATACAAATTAATTAAAAATGGATCATGAACTAACTATAAGAGCTAAAACTACAAAACCCTTTGAAGAAAACATCTGTGTGAGTCTTCATGGTCTGAATTAGGCAATATCTTCTTAAATATGGCACTAAAAGCACAATCAAAGCCAAAATAGATCAACTGGATACCATCAAAATAAAAAACTTTCATGTTTCAAAAAGTACTATAAAGAAAGTGAAAAGACACCCGGAGAATGGGAGAAATATTCTCGAATCATATATTGGGTACAGGACTAGTATTCAAAACATATAAAGAACAAACAGTTAAAACTAAACAATAAAAAGTCAACCCAATTTTAAAATGGGAGGTTTCTGTTATTTTGTTTGTTTACTCATAGGTGGACACAATACCTTTTATGTGGTGCCAAGGATCGAACCCAGTGCCTCATGCATGCCAGGCGAGGGCTCTACCATTGAGCCATGATCCCAGCCCCTGGGCAAAGGTTTTGAGTACGACAGTTCTCAAAATAAGAAATAAAATGGGCAGTAAGTCCATGAAAAGATGCTCAACATCATTCACCATCAGGGATTCCTGTGTTGAGGATGTAGAAGATTCAAACTCTCATGTGTTGCCGGTGGCAATGTAAGTGACGTAGCCACTTCGGGAACAGTCTGGCAGGACCTTGGGCAGTTAAAAAGTTACCATGTGACCTGGCAACTCCACTCCTAGCAATGTGAATTATATCCATTAAAAAATTCATTTTTAAAAAGCCAGCAGTGCCACTTACTGAGTGCTCTCCAAGGGACAGTGAGCTAAATAATACCTTCCAACAAACCTGCAGAGTCTGTCCCCACTCCTGTCGAGTTCCCAGTGAAGTCAGCAAAGAGACACTCCCCCCAGAGATGATGAAGGTATATTCCCCCCAGAGGTGATGCACAGGGACACTCCCCCAAGAGGTGACTGGTTCAGAAGAATTGCAAGGACAAGATACTCCCAACGAACATGTGGCGTCAGCACTAGTCTCTTATTAGACATATGGTTTGCAAATATCTTCCCATTCTATGAGTTGTCATTTTCCTTCCTTTATAGTTCTCCTTGATGCACAAAAGTTTCTTATGCTTCAGACACACCCAGCTCTCTGAAATCCTGTGTATAAGATGGCAGTCCCGGTGGTAGCAGGGGCCAAGTGGGCCAGACAGAGGGGCACAACCACAGAGTCACGTTCTTATTTGTCTATCCTGATTCGTAGCTGGCTATCCACACCACCGGCTGCATGCCTGACTGACTCTGGGGAGGGGTGGGCTGGAGCTGAGCCTGGCCCAATCCCACAGCCAGATGAGACCCGTGTGTCAAGCTGAGGCCCAGGGAACCAATCTTAGGTGAAGGCAGCCCAGATCCTGCAGAGTTGAGGCAGGGGAGGATCTGTCCCTTACTGGGCTGTAGACCACTTGGAACTGCTGGTACCAACAACATCTGTGCTGCCTGAGCCAGTTTCTGGCCACCTATAGCCCACCAGACCTGCCTGTGAAATCACTATGGACTTGGACACTACCCACTGTTCTTATTTGATTTCAACGACCATTCACCGCCACCACCAACAAAAACGCACTGAGCGCTTCCTGAACTCTGAGCTGTGACAGTGTGTGATTGTGGACACACCCCCTGCACGGAGCTCACTCCAGCCCAAGGGGCCGGGAAATGACCCACACAGAGGAGTGGTACAGCTGGGAGGGGAAGC